CACCGTACTCAACTTCAGTTTTTAGGGTGTACACCACTCATGTGATTGACCGGACTCCACACCTTTACGTATTACTCGACCAGGAGTCAAGTACTTTGTACATATATGGTTTTGTCCGAATAAATTTTGACGACGGGTCGTCGCTGAAATTTTGTTCATGTGATTTGATAAGGAAATGGTTATCACGCGCCATATATCTTATTCTTTTTTACCTTTTTCAGCTCATGTCGGAAATGTTTACGCATAAATATTTTGATAAAAAGGCTTCCGAATGGAATGTTTTGGATTTTTTAGACGAATGTGAAGAAGAACGGTTCGATCTGATGACAAACCTTTACATTAAAGGTCTCGAGAATATTGTTAATTGTGAAAGAGATTACAAGCGCGAAAGGGCACAAATGTTGCTCGATAATTATAAGAAGGCGAGTGTAGAAGCTTTTTTATTAAATGTAGTCATAAATCTATCGCGTAGCGGTGGCTTTTGAGGTTGTTGCTACGGCACGCAGGTGGCTTTTGAGGTTGCCTGACGTTTAAGATCCTGCCAGGACGCAGGTGGCTTTTGAGGTTGCCTGTTGTTCAAAGGTTTTGAGCTGATTTGGCAGGATCGAGATGAATCCGAGCTACATTAGTCAAGAGCACTGTTAACCAACTAGGTCTTATCATTCTAGGGTAGTCGACCGGACTATCATCTGGCAAGGGCGTGGGAGAAGGGACGATCTAAAAAACAGGTTCATTGCTACCAACCGACGTTTCTAGAAGGAGGAACCATAAATGGGAGCGTAAATAACGTAAATGGAAACATGACTTGTGGAAATTTCGCTGCTGGGCCTTCAAATAAACGGGGGGAGGAAGAGGTATTTATACATAATTTTTGATTATCGAGTTAGGAGTTAGAAGAACTAATTATTGTTTCCGTTTGACACTCTTAGGTTGATGATTCCAAGGAAGAAAGAGCTTCCAAAAAAACCCGCAAAGACGCCAAGGACAGACTTACTACACCACCACCAAATCCAATATTTTCAGAATCTATTGAAATCAATAGTGATTCAGAAAATGATTCCGAAAGTGACACCGAATCAATTGATATAGATCAGGGTGAGGTAGAAATTGAGAAGCTTACTCAGGTATTTTATTTATTTGCTAGCTTTTAGTGCTTTTTATATAACTGATAATGATTGTGTTTAATTTTTAGGACGAGATACATATTCGTAACAAATTACTTGCTATCTTAGATGCACAACAAAAAAAAGATATAAAATCGGGAAAAAATTTTTTAACATCGGTATCTCTTAATCATATCATTGATTTATCTAATGATAAAGTACAAAAAGAAGTAGATAAATCATTAAATAAAGATCAAATTAAATGGATTAATGGGTTTCTCCAGAAAGAGATATGGGATCAAACACATGAATTTCAGCAGTATATTAATCAATTTACAAAAAAACAAGTAGTAGAAGAAGCGTGCCAAATCTGGTTCGCAAGTCTTTTGTTCCATCTGAAACATTTAATTCATATAATCATGAAGATTATGACATCGCTCAACAAATTTTAACTCATTTGTAAGTACTCATTTGTAAGTACTCATTTGAAATATTTGGCAATTTAAAAAAATACTTAAACATTTTCTTTATAAATAGTTCCGTAAGACTTGAAGCACCATTAAGAGTCGAAGTTGAAAGTCTTAATTATGAAAGGACATTTTCGATTGACACAATAATATACATTATAAACCGTTTATTCCGTATGCACCAGGATGTAGTTGATCTTGTGTGGTAGGTATCAATTATAAATTCAAAACATTAAGCTATTGTGTGCTAATCCTTTGTTTATCCCATTAGGATCGAGTTAACTACCCCTAATACGAAAAAACGCAAAATTGATGGATTAATTAAGATAATCAATTCGATTCAAAAGAATCAAACAATAGTCTTAATCGAGTTTTCATATGGTAGACGAGCACCTTTATCAAAAATAATAAGCGATGAGGTTAAATTATGCGAAACTCAATGAGAGTTTTGAATAAGTTATTGCAAAAAACACCTAAGAAAATAGCACGAATTTATTTAATACAAACTGCTAGTAAGTATTTTTAATTGCACATATTTGGTTTAATGTTAAAAAGTCAAATAATTCATGTTTATTTTATAGATGGAGAAATTAAGATCAAGTATTTAGTTCGTCCCTTGCCATCAATATACATTCTTCAATTGTTTACGTGCATTAAAATACCCGTTTCTTTCGATGAATTTGAACAATTCGCGAAGAAAATAACTGATTTGATGAATTTGCAGGTATGGATTAGAAATATGCATATATGTTTTATCAAATACTAATAATAGTTGACTTTTGTTATTGTAGGTTGATGTGTTATCAACGATTCAAGCAATGAAGGAAGCTACGACTGTAGAAAATGCTATTCATATAACATCTATAGATGACACACCTGTAAAGAAAAAGATTGCGAAAAGCGAAAATCAACCTTTACCTTCATCATGTCCAGGTTCTCCTCTCCCGTCGAATCACGATTTGATGCATCATTTAGATTCAACAAATCATAAAAAAATCAATTTAAATATACTGTCTAAAAAAAAATGATATCAACCGCGATTTTTATAATGTAAAAACTTTATTCATAATAAATGCAACCAATTTTATTCAATGCTTAATCATGTAATTTTATAAATGATTGAAATGATTAAAGTAATCGGAATCTTGATTTCGTATAACCATTATTTAGAATTTTTGACGACGGGCCGTCGCCGAAATTTTTGTTGCTTTAGTTACACATTTTGAATAAATAATAAATATATATAATCTATCATTAAAACATGCAATCCGAGGTCGATTCATTAAGACAACGAATTTCTGAGCTTGAAGCCGAAAAGACTGAGCTTGAAGTAAAGAATGCTAAACTGATAAAACAGGTTATGGAAGAGAATGCCAAGCGAGAAGCTGAAAATGCTGAGCTCAAGGCCAGGATCACCAAATTGGAACAGACCGCAGAAGAAAATACTGAGCTTAAAGATAGAATCATGAAATTGGAACAGAAACAGACCCAGGCTATTACTAATAAACAGGAGCCATCTCCTACAAAAGATATTTCATCACTTATTGAGAGCCATTCTGATGAGGAGAAAGGTATTACCTCCGATCCCTTGCCTGAAATAGAATATAGCTCAACCCAACCTGAATCTTCAACGGAGCCTAAAACATCTACAACTTCTTTACCACAAGATATTATCCATGACGATTCAGCTGAGATCCTTGATTTTGTAGAAACGATA